AAAATCAAGTAAGCTTAAGAAGTGATAAACCCATTAAAACCAAACCAAAGCAAAACAAAACCCTGAAACTCGTTCCTCTTTTACTCTTTTGGTTTATCAGGAAGTCTGTGTTTTAGCTGCCGTTTTCCCAGTATGCTTCTCCTTTGATCCTGAAAAATAGTCAATTTTAAATGGTACCAATGGCAATTTCCAAGTTCATTTTTCAGAAGTAGTTCAATGCAACAGGAAATCACAACATTCGCTATTGCAGAAAATGCCAGCTTTGTATCCGTACTGAAAATTCAAAATCTCTGGTACAATGATACTGAGCACTCATTTTCTGAGCTGTTGCCATGGTCTGAGGTGCTAAGAATAATAATCAGCAGGCCTATGAAGTTGCCCGTCATGACAGCACTCCTAGGTAAAAGCAAACATCATATCCGTTCATCTTATCTGGGCTGAGTTTCAGCAAACAGCTTTCATTCTGCATGCTTTCATGGCCAGATACTACGGAAAAAAAAACCCCTAAACTATGTCTGGAAGAAAAGGCAATGCAACATCCCTCATCACTATTACAGATATGAACGTGCGGTTACTTATGCTTCCCAAAGATGATGAATGTGCATAGAGCAGTGATCTGCATGTGGAACTGCTATTCAGCTGGAGTTAACATCTCTCTAAAACCCTCTATGATATTTATACAGAAACATCACTATCAAGATATGCAGATTAGGCCTCCAAATGTGACAGAACAATATGAAATCAGTTTTTTTTTTTACCTTAGTCGAGCTAATCAGGCAAGCACCTTTGAAGCAGTGTACTAGAGCTCGTATTGTGTTATGCAGAGCTTTTTTTTTTTTAACCCTGGACTCCTGCAATATCATGACAGTCTTCTTAAGCGAAGCTTATAAATAACAGTATGTTTATTTTGAACCTATGCCTTTGCTCCACAAGATGACAACATCTTGCTAGACCTTAATACATAAAAACATTCATGTAGCCTCAAAACAACGTTCATCTAGCCCAGCACCTCATCCAGCAGTGGGGGCAGGAAGGATGACTGTGAAAAAGACAGCAAGGAAAAAATGAGCCTTCCAGTGATATATCCTCGTGGTATCCAGGGGCTTCCTCATCTACAGATTGCTTCTGAGTGAATTTTCTGAACTAGACCTTCAGCTATACATCTAGCTGTGATTATAAAGCCTGGAAATCCAGTATAACATTGCATGTGGATTACCAAGTTTAAAAAAAATGGTGTAAAATAAAACAAAACAATAGAATTTTATGAGCTAATTCACCTTCACTTCCATTCGTTTCAAATGTATGTATTGATCTGATACTTTTTCATCAAAGATCAGGGCAAAAATTTAAAAAAAAAAAGGCTACTTTAATTTTGTACCCACTCAGGGAGTGCTATGGACTCCCCTAACAGTGGAGCTGAGAGGTATTTTCACATGTCACTGCTTGCTTTCTGCTTTCCCACCCACTAACAAAAGAAGGAATAGGTATTGCACTCGTGCTGCAGGTGGGCTTTACACAATATACTGGCATTTTTTTTTTAGTATGCATTTGGATGCATAGAGCATTTCAGCCCCACTCGGCCCAGCATCAGCACAAGAACAGTTTATAGCGTATGCAATTTGCAAAAACCCACACTGTGCTGATAGTATTTAACACAGATCTATTAGCAACTCTTCAAATGGTATATTGTGCCAGAATCACCATTAAGATACACTAGAAGGTTGTATGTTCAGACTTTGTGGCGTTTCATTCCCTACTCACCTCCATCCAATCTACAATTGGAAAATACAGTGAAAATCCACACAGTCCCACTTTCTGGGACACTTCTGTTGCTTCTTTTGGTTTACTACTGTCTCATAAACCAAAAGTGGGGCCCCTGAAAGACTGACTCACTGACATAAACCCCTCAACACAGGGATTAGATGAGGGCAGCAGCGCTGCAAATTAGCCAAAGCCCATCACCTCCCCACAGCCAACCCCAACTAATTGCAGCAGCTTCATTTACCCAGACCTTACAGTGCCTCGGGTTCTGTTCCAGTGCTACAGCCAGCAGCACCCTTTGCAGCTTTCAAACTATCTGGACTATTCTACATGGAATAAGAGAAGGGAAAAAAAAAAAAAAAGAAAAACGATTTAAAAAGGCTTTCCTCCTGCATACAAAAAAAAAACCCACAACCGCCACCAGTAAGCACCACAAGAAATTTAACAAACAACTTGAAAGAGAAGGGTGGGGAAGGAAACATCTTGAAAAATAACGGCGGCGGAAAAACTTGGTGAAATGCCCGTTTCGGGTCACTTTTCGCAGCGGTGCCCGAGGTGGGAGGGGGGGTGGGGTATGGAGGGCCTGCGCCTCGCCCGACGGCCGGCCAAGGAGCGGCAAAACCGGGTTGGGAGGCCCCCACAGACCCGGGTCCACGCCAGGGCGGGGAGAGACGGACGGAGAAGAAACCGGGTTGAGAAGGGCCCCAAAGCGGGCACCGAGCCCTGGCCGCCGCCCGGCCCCCTCCCGCCGCGCCGCCTGAGGCGAGCCGCTGCACACCCTACCCCTCCGCCGCACACAGCGGCTCAGTATCCCTCCGCCATAAGGCCCCGGGGCGCGGCCCGGGCGGGAAGGCGGCGGCCTGGCCCCGGGCCCCCCCCGCCCCGCTCCCCGCCGCCGTGCCCCATCAAAGCCCCTTCTGTTATTGAAATATGAGGCCGCTTCCTCTCCGGCGGAGGCCGCTGGCGGGAGGCGGGGATCGGCGGGGCGGTACGGCCGCCCGCCCGCTTGCCGTGAAGAAACCTCTCTTTGTTCGGGCGGGTGGGGCCAGGCCCGCCTCCGGCCGCGGCACCCCCGGCCACCGCACACGGGTCTCCGAGACACCCCTTCAGTATTGGACACGGTTACCGAGGGGTGACCGGCGCCTGGGGTCCCCCAGCGCGAAGGGAGAGCGGGTGGTGCCGGCCCTGGGCGCCGGCTCCCCGGTGGGGCAGCCCCCGGGGGTCCCGGCCCCGGGGGTGGGCCTGGGCCTGGGTCAGGCCCCGGAGGGAACGCGGCCTTACCCTTGGCGCCCCAAATGCATCCCTTGTGGCCACCTGTACGCCATTATTTTACATCGGAGAAACGCACAGAACCCCTTTTTTGCACTTCTGGTGATAACCCTTAGGCAGGGTCCTGTTTGGTTGGTTATTTATTTATTTTGTTCCAGTGGGGTCTGCCGTGGAGTAGCTGATGAGGCATGGCAGTGGCGTCATGACCCCTGCTTGGTGACTCTGGTGAAACCCATGTGATTTTGCGCTGGGATGTGTTAGGTAGGCTCTGGCATTTCCTGATCAAGTAGGATTGATGAGCTGCAGCCTCTTTTGATGGTGCAGGCTGAGAGTTTTGACACCCACGATGAAAAAGCTGTAGCGGGGCCCAGGCTGAAAAATGACGTTGGAGCGCTGCAGTGGGTGTGAAGCAGCTACTTTCTTCTGTCTAGCATTGGACAAAGGGGAAAAAAAGGGATAAAATGAATCTGTAAAATCCAAGTTGCCTGGGTTACCTGCATTTTCTAATCTAGCAGAATTTAGAGGTTGAGGATGCAGGCATATATTCCCTACTGCTGTTGGGAGATCAGGCATCAAGAACCTTATTTTTTTTCATGTGGAGGAAGAGCAATTACACCTGCTTTCAATTCAAATAATATTTGCGCCCCAGTTTGCCAATCTGCAGTACCATCATAAAACGTTGGGGTTTTCCTTTCATTTTTCCCTTCTTCTGTTGTTGTTTGTGTTGGGGGTTTGTTTTTTGTTTGTTTGCCTAAAATAACAGACACATTTAGAGATACAGCAATGGCAGCACCTTTTGTCTGCAGCTGTAAGAGGTGAGATTTAATCTGTATGCTTTCTGTGCCATGAGATTTAGGGGGTGAAAGCCACATACTGCACAGATTTTAGCAGACCCTTTTGGGATTGTGTGTCTCCTGATGTGAAATGCACCATAATCCAGAGATTTTTGATGGTGGAAGAGCACTTTGGTCCGAGGTGGCGTTTAAAAATTGCATAAAGTCTCGGGGCCAAGACTTGCCTGACTTGAGGGTTTTGCAATGCCAGTGCTGTGAGCATGGCATGTTCAGTATTTGGGGTGTAATAAGAGAAGCTGGGCTTGTTTCCTGGATTAATAATTCAGTTGGAAGTTGGGGATAAAACAAAAACATTATGGGATCGTGTTGGGTCCAGCTGCTTCCACCCCACTACGTACCCCCCATCTCTCAGGCATCACTTTCTCCCCGTCTAAAATCACGTTCCCACCCTCAGAGTTAATAGTAGGATGGGGGATAAATAAGGAGCGGGGGCTGGGAGTGAGGAGAGGTGAGTGGTCAGGAGTATCATGTTTCTTAGGGTGTTACACACCCTAAAACCCTCAATTCAATGTTCCCTTCATGAGAAACAGTACTAAATTTTTTTAGAGTTTTTTTTTTTTTGGAATCAGTTCCTCCAAGTAGAAAAAAATGTAGATCTGCATTGTTTTCTTTTAGCAAGGATTTGTTAATTTTGACTTGAGCAAAGACTCCTGTTCCAATTTCCAAACACCACCTATAAATGAATTACATTTTTGTTGCAAAAAAAAAAAAGATTACGATTGAACAGCTGCAGATCCCTTAAAAACCCCAAAATAATCTTCCCCTTTTTTCAGTTCTGAAAAAGGAGCTGTACCTAAATCTCTGCCTTTTTTTTTTTTTTTTTTTTTTTTTTTTGGTGTTTTTTTTTTTTTTTAGCCCTGTGTAGTTTTTAGCTCGGGGCTCGTGTCTGTGGTGCAAGAGGCTTTTTTAGGTGCGGATCTGGGAGGGAGGGCAGGACCTGCGGGGCGAGGACAGGGACCTGGAGGGACAGGGCAGCGTGCTTGGGACGGGGAGGGTGGGTGTGAGTGGGTGTGAGAGAGAAACCGCGTATGTGGGTTTATTTTTTCCTCTCATTCCTGGGGTCTGAATGGAAAGCACGTTGAGCTGTAATTAAGACATCTTGGAGGCGTACTTAACTCATGACGTGTTGCTTTTCTTTTCCTCTCGGTGAGAAAGTGGCTCTCTCTTCCCTGAATCAGGTCCTCTGCCACCCAGAGCCACAAAGAGACGTTCGGGACATAGGCACACACACGCACACACACTGACTTAAGGTGAGCACCAAAAACTTCCTCCGCACTTCGCTGTCCTCTGTTTCAAACTGCTGGAGAGTTCTGAGAGCATCTCAACTCGGGAGCTCTGCGCAAGGTAAAAAAAAAAATAAACTTTTGGGAAAGGTTTTTTACTCCTTTATTTCTCTTAAGTCGGATGGGGATCCAGTAAGCAATGTCTGTGGCATCAGCTCCAGGGCTGCACTGAAGTGATTTTTCAAGCGATCTAATTTGGCAGCTGGGGCGGGGGGCGAAGGCGAAAGAGGGATTGAAACTGGCTAACTTCAATGTGTTTGACTTTTAAGCGCTCTCTGTTACCAAAGGAGAGATCATATTGCAACTGCAGATTCCGTCTGAAAGACAAAAAGTTGTACGCTTCTGCTCTGTGACTTCCTCCTGTGGGATTATACATTTCACAGAGATCTGTCTTTCTTGAGGGATTTCTCCATCCAGTCAGATGATTTTAGAAGATTTTAGGATGAAGGAAAAGAAGGACAGTAGAGTAAGCAATAATTTCAAGGGCTGGAAGTAGATTTGCATAAAGTACTGACCAGCCAGTTAGGAGGGAAAAGATTTTGATAAGATGTGATAAATTGCATACTGATGTCATTTTTGGCTATTTATCATCAGAGAAAGCCTGAATAATGTTTTGGCACAGGTTTCTGCATTGTCTCCACTCACCAAGAAAGTTAGGATGCCACAGCATTTTGAAAGTTTTGCTGCACATTAGTTGGTCCATGGCTATGATAGCTGTATCATCTTACTGGCTGATTATTTGTGGTTTGGAGTCATACATACAAAGGTGTCATTCAAAACGTTTTTCATGGCAAAATTACTTGTGTGGTAGGTTTAGATGTAAAGAGTTGGAAAGCATTTGAATGTTTGAATTAAGGAGATTTATTGATACCTTTATATCATTAGAAAGGGGATTCATAACTGCTAGGATCCTTCAGGGGATAAAAATGTTGCCATATGTGTTTCTGGGTGATGTCATGTAGCTGATATAACACCTTCAGGAGACTCTGGGAGCCTGGCAATGTGTACAAGAGAATCGTGTAGATTGTCAGCAATGAGTTTGTAATGAGTTTGTATTAATGACTAGCAAGACTGTTTTAGTGCCTAAATGTGGAAAGAAGCAATCTGGAAAGACTCCTATTGTTTTGTTAGGAAAACATTGTTAGGAATATGTATGATGTGATAGTTGAAAAGGTGGTTGCAGTGGAGCTGTGTAACTATGGATACACACCCTCTCCATAAACACTGTTTCTGGAGACAGTATTTGCAGCACGTGGAGAAATGTATCATAAACAAGGGAATTATTATCAAGTCCTATGGAGAGGGAACCCGGGAGTCTCATGCCAAAACGTGTCACGCAGAATGCCAAATCCTCGTGCTGCAAAGAGACAGCTCATGCTTCTTTGGTTTTTCATATCTAATGGAGGCAGGTCTTCAACTCCCGTAAAGCACAGCGAAGTGGAGTTTCTCTGAAATGCATTGTCTGAGACTCTAACCCATTTGTACTTACCTGTATTACATTAAGTGACAATGGGAAAGGGAAGGAGGAAGAATGCAGTAAGGAACAGAGAGAATGAAAAAAAAAATAGATTAATTGGTGGTACTTCTCAACATAACAGTTAAAATGGAAAAAATAATTTTGTACAGAGCAGCTTTTTCAAGTTAAATAAAAAAAAAAGTCAGTGTAATAATGAAGACACTGCTGGTCTGCACTGAAATTGTGCCCAAAGGCCTGTCTTCCTAATAGGATTCCTGAATGTATAAGCAGATTCCAATAAGAAAGAGAAAAAAAAAAACTGTGTCGTTATGAAGAAAAGTATTATCTACAGCAGTGTCCTCCTCTTCAGAGACATGACTGACTGTAATTCACAGCAAAGCATCCTTTCATTATAAACCTAGTGGGTTCAGTTTCCTCTCATTTTCGGTAGGTATGGTTAAAACAATTGTCAGCTACTAAAAAACCCCTAAAGTAGTACAAAGGGCTGGTGGGGGAGTGGAGAGGTTTCAGGAAAAGGTGAAGGGTTTCTGTGGCATGGTGCAGTGCACCTTTGTTTTTACAAAGTTTGTAAAAGGATGAGAAGAGCATTTTCTACTGCAGGTCCCCAGCCTCTCTGATTTTATGCTGATATGGGACTAAAAGAAATATTTTTGTCCACTATTGGTCACAGTCTGGAGCCAAAAGAACTGTTATCAATACTTACTTAATCAAGTCATTTCTTTGCGCTTTAGTAAAAATCTGGAAATAATCTTGACCAACCTTTAAAAAATGTTTTGAGATCTTCACGTGAAGAGTGACTTTGCAATTGCTTGTGTTTAAATATATTCAAAGGTTTCCAGTTCACTGCAAGGATTAAAGTGTGAGAACTGAAATTAATATTTTCTGCTTTTCATTTGCCTTTTAATTGAAGCAGTAGTGAAGCTATCCTTGGAAGTTGAAATACTTTACATTTCTGTCTCGTTGTAAACCTGACAGTGTATTTCATTACTTAAAACTCCCCGAAAATGAAAAGTTTGGGGAAAAAATTTATTTTCATATGACAAGCTGCTTCTGTTGCTTGTGAGGAAGTATTAGACATTCTGTCTCCACTGTTAGGAACTGTAGCATACAGTACTGCACTTGAAAAGGTAGCTTGTAACTTGTAGGTAACAAAATGTTCTTTGGGGTAAAAAAACCGTCTGAATATACTTAGGATTTCAATCAATGGTGTTTAAGGAGGATTAGAGGAAACAGCTGGCTAAACAAATATTAGGTGTAGAGTGGATGCAGTGGTATAAATTAATAATGCAGTTCTTTATCTGCTGTATGAATGGGAGGTTTTGTGGAGATAAGACGACCTAAACATGGTCACTGTATGCCACCTAGTGGATATTGCAAAGAGTCTTTCAGAAGATTTTTCTTTTATGGAGAACATCTGTAACTAATCCAGGTGCAACTTAACTGTTAGTGGTTAGTTTTATTCGGTTTTACCATTAAAAACTATCAGCTGTCTTTTTTTTCCCCCCAGATTTTTAAGGGGGGATTTTTCCTACTTTTTAAGTGCCTATTAGATCTGCTAAAAAACAGTTTAGCTTTTATTTAATGCATTTTGCTGATAGTTTCTATTTCCAAAGTCATTGAGGAACAGCCACATATTAACACTTAGTTTGACATACTGCACTGCAACTGTAGAAGTGAAGAGATTTCTGTACAAATATTGTGGCAGGAGAAGTAAGGATTTAAAATCTCCTTCCAAAACTTCTTTATCATGTAGGATGTGCTTTTGTTAAAGCCCCTTTTGTTTTATCCCTGAATATTTTGTCACTGAGAGGCATAGATAAAGAAAATGTCGTATTGTTTCTGATGACTAATAAAAGGTCATAAACCCTCTCCATCTTCTTTTTGCTTGCATGTCATTTGTCTCCACCTTCCTCACACCTCACACGCGCTTATCTCTTGGGCTGTCCTTTCTATTTATTGGGGAAAGGAAAATTGCCTTTTGGTCCACTGGATTGTTTATTCAGTAGTAGATATTCAGGTGCTGTCAGTTCTCATAGCTCTAAAGGATCTCGTGAAATTACATGGTTTTAAGCAAATATACATCAATCTGGATATACTTTGTGACTTGTTTTATGCTATGTGACCATCTTATGTCCTTTCACTTCCTAGGCTTTTTTAAAATTTCACCGTAATCACAGCTCCTACTGCAGTCATCTACTAGGCACCTAAATCAGGTGATAAATCTATGGTTCTGATACTACATTTTCAAATAAATGCCACAATGCATACTGGAGCAAAGAAGTATTAAAATACTTGGCAAAGTCAAGCTCCCTGCTTCGCTTCCTCCTGATCTTCATCACTCAACAGTAAATCAAATGGCAACATCACACTTAGCAGAATAAAAAATGTCTGTGTTTTCTCATCCACTTAGCTTTGAAAAGACATTTTTTGGTTTCATTTTAATTAGTACAACAAAATGGAAATCTTGACCGTGATCAATGGCTCTGAAAATAAACATTTAAAACATGCATTAAGAAGTTACAGAGCAGTACTCTGCACTGGCTACTTTGAAAACTTTTCTCAAGAGTTATATGAAATACTACCATAGGAGGTTGTTAACATGATGCACAAGTTGATGGCTAAAGTGAGAAGGAAATCTGGCTTTCCATTAATCAGGCAAAGTTTACATGTTAAAATTTAGGACGGTAAAATACTACAGCATCAAATGGGTTAGTTGACTCGATGCTATGCTTCATAGGTGGCTACCTTTCTTTATAGCTCTGCCTGGCCTTGTTACTGCAAGTCACAAGACCTGCTAATGGAATCAGCCCCAAACTGTGCTAATAAGATCTTAGCAAGGCTAGAGAGTCTCTCCCAGGACAAAGCTGTCCCCTAAAGTCACTGGCACACAGGGTCACCACCTTTTCCTAGAGTAGGGCACATCAGATGCTACGGCAGAATCTACATCGTTAATTGTCTGGCATAATAGAACTAGAATCATGAGACCAGAAGAATGTTCCTGGATATATGCCTCTTGCTTCAAAAAATGTCATCTTGGCATTTGTCTGATAGCAGAAGACCATTATCTTCAGACAGCATTCCATTAATAATATCTTCTAATTACTTTAAATGCTTGCAGCCTACAATGAACATATGGGCAATGGAGACAGGTTAGATTAGAAATGTGTTTGGCAGAAATCTAAGTAGTAGAAAACAAATGTTTCAAACTACTCTGGGGAAAAAGAAGGAAAAGTTACTTAGAGGTAGTTCAAATTTGGGTTTGATCACGTTTGGTCTGTACTTTTGCAAGTGGATGTATTAAGTTTGGGTTTGTTTGGGGGTTTTGTGCATGTCATATCGTGTTAATTTACTGCTTATGTCATGGTACGTTGTAACTCATCATCTAAAGTGTGTCAACAAGTATTAGTGTATTATACTGTGAAGTATGCCAGCATTTATTGTCATGAACATTCCCTTATATTTAGAATTCCTTTCCTACAAGAATGCCTAGGAATATAGCGAAGAGGCAGTTTGTGCACCTATGTGTATATAAATATATGTATATGCTCACATGCCCTATTAGAATGTGTAATTTATTTTTTTGA